AAATGTGGCCTAACTAAAGTTCTATAAAGCTGCAGCATAACTTGCCTATCCTTGTACTCAATGTTCTTTCCAATAAAGGCAAACATGCGATGGGCCTTTTTTACTACCTTATCTCCCTGCACTGCCACCTTCAGTGATCTGTGGACCTGCACACCCAGATCCCTCTGCATATCAGTACTCCTAAGGGTTCTGCCATTCACTGTATAATTTCCACCTGTACGTGACCTTCCAAAATGCCTCACACTTATCTGGATTAAACTCCATCTGCCATTTTTCTGTCCATGCATCCAGATGATCCTGCTGCATCCTCTGACAATCCCCCTCACTATCTGCAGCTCCACCAATCTTTGTATCGTCCGCAAACTTACTAATTAGACCAGCTACATTTTCCTCTAAATTATATATGTAGATTACGAACAGCAGAGGTCCCAGCACTGATCCCTGTGGAACACCACTAGTCACAACCCTCCAAACCAAAAAGCATCCTTCCACTGCTACCCTCTGCCTCCTATGACTGAGCCAGTTCTGTATCCATCTTGCCAGCTCACCCCGATACCATGTGACTTCACCATTTGTAACAGTCTGCCATGAGGGACCTTGTCAAAGGCTTTACTGAACTCCATGTAGACAACATCAACCTTTTCACTTATCAATCACCTTCGTCACCTCCTTAAAAAACTCGATCAAGTTAATGACGCACGAGCTCCCCCACACAAAACCATGCTATCTATTGCTAATCAGTCTGTTTGCTTCTAAATGCGTATAGGTCTTGTCCCTGAGAATATTTACCACTAAGTTCCCTACCACTGATGTGAGGCTCACAGGCCTGTATTTTCCTAGATTATCCCTGCTACCCTTTTAAAACAATGGACAACATTAGCTATTCTCCAGTCCTCTGGGACCTCATCTATTGCCAAAGAGGATACAAAGGTTTGTCAATGCTCCAGAAATTTGTTTTCTTGTCTCCCTCAATAATCTGGAATAGATCCCATCAGGACCCGGGGACTTATCTATCCTAATACTTTTTAAGATGAACAACACCTCTTCCTTTTTATTAGCAACTTGGCTTAGAAATTTGACACTCCCTTCCCTGAGATCATTCTCTACCAATTCCTTCTCTTTGGTGAATACCAATACAAAGTGCTCAGTTAAGACCTCGTCTACCTCTCTGGCTTCACATACATTCCCTCCTTTGTCCTTGAGTGGGCCAACCCTTTCCCTGGCTATCCTCTTGCTTTTTATATATGCATAAAAAGCCTTGAGATTCTCCTTAATCCTGTTTGCTAACGACTTTTCATGACCCCTGTTAGCCTTTATAATTTCTTGTTTAAGCTCTTTGGTACTTTCCCAATATACTTCCAGGGCTTTGTCAGTTCCCATCCTCCTAAACTTTCCGTGTGCTTTCATTTTTGTTTTGACCAAGGTCATAACATCCCTGGTCATTCAAGGTTCACGTGTAACTTGCCATACCTATCCTTCATTCTCGCAGGAACGTGCCGCTCCTGAACTCTTATTAACTGCCATTTGAAATACTCCCACATGTCCAATGTGGATTTACCCTCAAACAGCCACCTCCAATCAACACTCTCCAGCTTCTGCTTAATATTCTTGTAGTTCGCCTTTCCCCAATTTAACACCCTCATCCAAGGGCTGCTGTTATCCCTATCCATGAGTAACTTAAAACTCACACTATTATGGTCACTACTCCCGAAATACTCCCCCACTGAAACTTCACTCACCTGGGTGGACTCATTTCTCAAAACCAGGTCCAGTATAACCCCTTCCCTGGTTGGACTGTTTACATATTGTGTTAAGAAACCCTCCTGAATGGTCCTTGCAAATTCTGCTCAATCCAAGCCCCTAGCGAGAAGTGAGTCCCAATCAATATAGCGAAAGTTAAAATCACCCACCACAACAACCCTGCTGTTTTTAAATCTTTCCAAAATCTGTGACATATTCACTCCTCTATCTCCCACTGGCTGCTGGGAGCCCTGTAATAAACTCCCAGGTTTGTGATTTCACCTTTCCTGTTCCTGAGTTCTACCCATATTGCCTCACTGCATGAGTCCTCTGATGTATTCTCCCTCCATATAGCTGTGAGATACTCCTTTACCAGTAATGCAACTCCCCGACCCCTTTTACATCCCCTTCTATCACACCTGAAACATCTAAATCCTGTGACATTCAGCTTCCGTCCTGACCCTCTTTCAGTCAAGTCTCTATGATTGCAATAATGTTATAGCTCCAAGTACTAACCAACATTCTAAGTTCATCTACCTTACCCATTATACTTCTCGCATTGAAGCACATGCATTTTAGACCACCTCCCCTGCTCTTTTCAGCAGCCCGTTTCCCTGTCCTTAGTCATGTTTGTCCTGGTTTCTACCTCTCCCTCAATTTCTGCATCTACTGGCCTATTCCTCTGGTTTCTATCTCCCTGCCACACTGGTTTAAATCCTCCCCAACCACTCTACCAAGTACACTCCCCCACCAAAGGATGTCAGTGCCAGTCTTGCCCAGGTGTAATCAATCCAGTTTGTACAGCTCACACCTCCCTTAGAACCAGTCCCAATGCCCCATGAATCTGAAACCCTCCCCTCACGCTATCTTTTCAACTACCTGTTCATCCTATATATCCTGCTGTTTCTGCTCTGACTAGCTCATGGCACTGGTAGTAATCCTGAGATAACTACCTTTAAGGTCCTACATTTCAACTTTCTTCCTAGTTCTCTATATTC